AATATAAATGAACCTGTTGGTTTACCACCATATGTTATTGTTATATCGGACCAAGTATAACAATTGAACATAGTTTCCCAGAATTGTTGGGACTGAGGAGTGGTGAGTTTTTTTGGGTTGGGTGTAAAAAAGAATAGGTGACTATTCTTGCTACTTGAATTGTCATTGCTAATCTTGAGCCCTAATGAAATGAGATTAACTGTAGAATGACCTTCCCCAGGTCAATTGCCTTCTAGATCTGTTGCACTACAATTCTTATTCTCTCCAACCAACATCTATTAAACGCTATCCATCAGGTTAGACCCATGTAATTTGGACCATATCATTTGGACTGTGGTAATATTTATTCTTATAATGCAAGATACTGAAGTGCAGGGAGAAAAAAAAAGTCTTCTGTTACTACATTAAATAAGAATTATTCAGATAATTAATTAAGAGTGAATACCATGTGGTCTGACCAGTTCTGGAAGCATGATAGCCATAAACCTCAATAGCAGCCATGTAAGGACTAATTTAAAAAAATTATAATGTCATCCTATTTCGCAAACCTTTTATGATTTATAGAGCAAATCCCTTATGTATTTGTCTGAAATCTTAGAACTGGATGATCTGCTACATCATAATGGGACTTGCCTATGGAGAAATCTTTAAACTACTAAGTAATATGACTTAATTTGGCTTCTATTGACTTTATGCATAAGGTGTTTCCAGACAGAGTTACTAGCACTATCAATCAAAAGCCACCATGTAACTATTCTGTCTTTTTTTTAACTGAACTACTGTACTTTGGAAAGAAAAACAATGGAGAAGTTGATGGGAAAAGACAGATTAAGTGAAGTGTGTCTCTGGATCCTTTTAACAAGTCAGTGAATAAGGCCGAAGGATTGTATAAAAGCTCCATCTAGAATCAGCTTTATTGAACCTCTCAAAAGTAATGTTTGGATTTGCTAATATTGCATAAAAATAATCACATTTTGTTTACTTAGGGTTCTATCTCACTATTAGTTCTGAAAATAAATCTGAATGTACCTTTAAGTCAGGCTTAACTCCTGGTGACTGCTAGTCTCTGCAGTTTTCTTGGCAACATTTTTGGAAGTGGTTTGCCATTGCCTTTTTCCATGGGCTGAGAGAAAGCGACTCACCCAAGTCATCCAGCTGGCTTCATGCCTAAGGCAGGACTAGAAGTCATGGTTTTCCAGTTTCTAGCCCGGTATGTTTAACCACTAGCCCAGTCTGGCTTTTATATATAATTAGAGATGTGCATACCTTGAAAATTATTAGCAAGAAGTGCTTTGGATCTCAGGCAAATTCTACATATTACCTCTCTGCGATTCATTAAAGTATCCCAGGTTTTTTCTGGCTTTGAGACAAACCTGAAAAAGGCACCACTGTTTTAAGAATTATATTAATTTTGATGAGTGGATTTCTGTAATCAGTAGCCCTTTTTTAAGGCTCCTATGGAAATCTGAAAAAAGTCAGGCTGCTTTCATAGGAAGAAGCTGCCATGTTGCACATATGCAAGCCTGAAGCACTTCTGAATTATTTTCAAAATGTGCACAACTGTAATATGGATACATGTTTACTTATTTATTTCAGGAATGAAAAATTATGTGCCTTTACCATGATTGTTGTTGAAACAATGTAAGATGCATGCTGTTTTCTTGCTTAGGAAAAAAATGAACATAGGAGGCTTTGTTTATTTGGCATCTGCAAAATACTTTCTGTATTCTGTTATAAACTATTATAAACTGCATAATTCAGCTTTTCATCCTGGCCAATTTGCACATCATCTTCTTCCAACCTTTTAAATTTGTATTTCAATAAACATTCAGTTTACCTATCTTTCATATACTTAGGAATGCATTTATTTCTTTGTAACTTCTTAATTAAGATAGGATTCTATTAGTAGATTTGAAGGATATTTATATATTATCATTTGTTTTTAAGACCAAAAAGTATGCCTACTGTTTTTCCCAAAAGTTTAGTTTGCTACTATTTTATTAGGTTATATTAATCACTTCACAGGAGTTGTTCCTTCTTCTTGTTTACTGAAGTACATTACTCAAAGGATTTTTGGGGGGGGGAGGGAATAGAAATTTTAGAGATAGGCTTCATCCCATATTAGGACTCTAAAACAGAAATAACCATTTTTGCTGGTCTATGACCATAATGAAGATTTGAAGTAACCATATTTCAGATTAACACTCCCATCCAATATGTAATTTTAGTTAAATTTGATGGAATTAAATTTCAAGTAAACATGTTATCAGTTGCAGGCTTATTTTAATTTCTAGAAGATGATTTGATTATAAACTGTATTCAAAGAGTTTCTTGAAGTAATTGCAGAGATATAACAATGATAGGCATGTAGAATACATTTTGGAGGGGTGCTTGTCCTCTCTATTGCAACTTTTCTATCACCTAATAAATTACTACTGATCTTATTCCATTAAGCAAAAATTAACTAGTTGAATAAGAAGTAAAAGAAAGCAATCAGAAGTAACAAACAGCAAGGAATATGTATAGTCTCCTAATCTGAGAGAAGGCAAATGAACCTTCAGACTGGAAGTTTCCATGCAGACAGTTCGAGTTTACAGTTCTAGGTTGAGATATTCTTGTATTCTTAAACTTCTAGAACCTGAGATTGGCAGTGGCGATTCTGAAGAGGTCTCAGTGCTTGGACAATAGGACACCATCCAGTCCAACATTCCTACAGTTTAAGAGCATTGCCTGCTACTTAAGAATTAAGAACTACAAAAATACCTCCTAAATATATTTTATATAGTAGCAAGCCCAACTAATTCCTGTGGAACTTATGCTGAAAATCTGCATCAGATTGTTTGCTTAATGACTGGGTTTATTACGGCCATTATTATAATGATTAAAAATGCAGTTTTGTGGTAACTTTTAACTTTACGACTTAAATTCTTTGCAAAAGTACATGGCTATAGTTCACATCGATATCAGTGGAACTTATTTTCGAGTGGTCATGTGCAATGTGTTGTAACTGTTTGAGGCTTAACATAGAAACAAATCCTAAAACTGATTGTTTAGAAGGGAAGGCT